AGAGTTATATAATATAATGGAGTATAGGTCAATAGAGAACAGGAAATTTTGAATTATGGATTCCCAGGAAGCCTGCAGAGGATGAATGAGCACTTTGTTCTGCCTGCTGGGGCCTGGATAAGCTGCCTGTACTCAAATGCTTTAATTGGTGTTCTGATGCATTTATCATGGTCAGTTACACTCATTTCTAAGTCCAATGACTCATACCAAAAAAAGTAAAAGCTTGTAGTTTATCATACTGATACATGTCTGCAATACCAGCCTTTGGGAGGTAGAGGGGAGAGGATTGGAAGCTCAGACAGACCGAAGGCTGCATACTAAAATCAAAGTCAGCCTCTAATACATGAGACCCTGTCTCAAAAAAATATAAATGAATAAATCAAATTTAATTCACAATAAAAGTGAAATGACCTGCTCTGAACAGTTTGTGCATGCCAGAGCTCCATTCAGCAAATTACTGATCCAGCCCTATAGATGAGTTAAAGAGATTTCCCACAGATCATGGGTTTCAGAGAAATAAATTTTTCAGAACATGAACATTGGAATTAAGGATAACTGAGTTCAGAATACTGGCTATGGCACTCATCACTCATATGTGATCCTCTCTCACACTTGTTTTTATTCTTTTCATTAAAAAAGTAAATTTAAAGTAAATCCAATAATACCTGTTATACATTGACACATTAAGAACTTCAGGCTAGTACACAATAAAACTTAGTTATCTGATGCATGGGATATATCAGTATGAATAATTTGCATTGCTCAACAAGGCTCCCAAGCTAATGTTTCTGAACACAGATCCAGGCTGGCCCACCACACACTAAAGAAGATTAGCAACAGCTTGGAGAATACTGATGATGCCACATGGACTAAATCAGCAGCTAAAGACAGATAGGCTACAGCTCTCAATACTGCAGTGAGAAAGAACATTGTCTAAATAAGAAAGTTCATAAAAGAAAGAATGAACTTGTGTATAACCTGAAGAAGGTGAGTCTGGCTAGTCTGAGAGTGATGGCACACTGAAGAGTGGTTTGGAGGGGACAGAAATGATGAAGGATGCTTGTAATCTTGTCACTTAGGAAACCAGGGCAATAACATGGTGAATTCCAGGCTAGTTATGAGTTACATAGTAAAATCTTGTCTCAATGACAGAGAGAAAATAAATTTGCAGAATAATGTTATGATAATTCAGTGTTCTGTTATTCTATAATTTTATCTGGTGACTTTTTAATGTAACAGAAATATGTGATAAAATATGTCCTTGACGACAAATAACATCCCAGACATTGGAGAACTGTAGTCAATAATGAAAACACAATAAAATGGGAAAAGACAGAGATATGAAACAAGAATGAGATGGGGTGATGAATTTTAGTTGGAGAATTACTAGACCTTAATACCACTTTAAGATAACATGGGGAAGTACCAGGTCTGTGATGGGGGATGAAACAAGTTCTGTTGTTGTGTCTGATGAACAAAAAGATACCTCTCAGAAACAGGTATTTTATTCACTTTTTATTACCACTGGATGCAAAGAGCTTTTATTTATCCTCCAAACTGTGGATTGAAATTTCTCTATCCTTTCACTCTGTTCCATATTTCACTGTTGCCTTCATGTTTAACCTTTCCACTATTCTTCTAACTTTTGAAATATAGAATCAGATGTTATCATTAGACATATATGTATGAGTCAGATAGGTGTGTGTTGTTTAAAGCCATGGTCATAACTCAGTCATCTCAAGAAGAGGATGTGGACTACAGGAAGGAATAAGGAAAGCTAAACTTTCTACAACACCACAATTGATAAGGCAGAGAGCAGCATTTTCTGATAAATGGTAAAGACATATACTCTCAGAGTAACCATTGAAACAATTGAAAGAGAAAGTGTCAAGGAAAAGATAATCAAATTTTAATTCAAGGGAGAGAAAACATATCTGGAATTTATACTGAATATTTAAAACTCAGTAATCACTGAGCAAACAGATTTTCTGAGAGAGTAAAATCAGGAATTTATATGGAACATTTAGAAACTCACTAGTTAATGAACTGAAGGATTTTTCTGAGAGTTCTCAGTGGGGGAAATATCCTACTGGTTACCAAGGGTAAAGGAAAAATAAACAAAAGCAAATTGTTCTTCAGCCTCTTTCCTGGTTCAATATAAACTATACAACAGAAAACTGAAGACATGATGGTATTTATGACCGATCCCTCCACCATCTAAGCACTGTTGTTAGTAATGACACATAGTAATGGGTCCGAGCTAAGATGAGAATTTTGGAAACATATGCTTTAAAGTGTGTAAAGCCTTCATAATTGAGCTGGGGTAGAACTTGTGGAAAAGAACCAATGGCGTCCAGCAAAATGCTAAAGAAGGAAAGGAGTTAGATTAGGAGAGATAGAGAATGGCTTGTTTGCTTATTCATAAAATATTTGGAAATGGCTGGGTCTTGATGCTTTAATCTAACACACCATCCTTTCCAAGAAACTCAAGGTTCTTATGTTCTCATCCACTCATTTTTCCCTCAGTACCCGGACCACACTAAGAACACTTTTGTATGATATTCTTATAATTTTCTATTTCTCTTATAACTTCTCATGTTATCTATGTCAACAGAACACTTATCCTGTTTTCACTCTTGTAAATTCACATCTACTCATCTAAAGTTTAGCTATAATTCATCTACTGTGTTGATAATCTCTAGAATTAATTCCTAAACACTTAACACAGACACCCTTGCAGACACTGGGAGGCTACCACCTGTGCTCTCGTCGTTTATCTCTTAGACATCCTCTACCTTAGTGTACTCTAAAGTAGCCCATTTCCTAGCCAATGACCCTGTGGTTCTCACTATACCTGTACAGTATCTGGTTTGTCATTTGTATTCAAAGTCACTCAGTTTTTATTGTTGATAACGGTCACTAGACTCTTATTAAAGATAATGTTTTAAGACTTCAGGAGTGGGGTATGTAGTCTATGACAACCTCTTTGGCTTCCTCAGACACAAAATCATCTCAGACTTACTTCACTCATGTCTTAGTAGCTAACACGACTCTGTGAGTTCCCACTATTCTATCTGTCTACTGTTGAACTGGCCTAAAGGTTTGTGATTATCAACCGATTATAAAATATTCCTGGCTGTAAAAGTTAATGTGTGGTCTTCTCTGGGTCTAGCATGGATGAAGAGAAAATATAAGAAATTCTGGTTTGAGAGTAACAAATGGCCCAGGTGAAAGCGGGCAATTTGAGTTCTCTGCTCCCAGATCAAATATGTATCAGACCAAACTGTTCTGTACAGTTTGTTTTTTCTTAGCATCTTTAATAAACAAAGAGAAGGAAGAAGTCATCAAGAAGAATGAAAACTAGCCATGAATAAATAAATCAATGAGAAAGAAGTTATTAAAAAATCAGGAAACTATTCAAATAGTAGTTTAAGTTTTTAAAGTCATAATTTATAAAACTTTCTGGAACCCTGTGAAATAAATGACAAATCAGTCATTACATGTGAAATAAAAGACATGGTTGCCAGAATTAACAGATATACCTGGTGACCCTCTGCATTCCAAAGACATTATTATTGTTCAGTGCTAATGAAAAGCCACAAGGATAGTACTCGCTCACTTGGTTAAGATCTCTTAAAGGGAAGATTTTGTGTTATTCTGTAGCTTCTAACACAGAGCTTTGAAAAAGGCCTTTAGTTGAGAAATATCTCCATGACATTCTGAAAATCTTAGCATTCTTCATCTCAATGTAGACAATACCCAGAAAATTTCCACTGCTTTTTCTATGTGCCTTTCTCCTGTTCTGCGAACCTACTGCATGACCACATTCTGATAATCCTCTTCTTCCTTTCTTAGCTCTCTTTGATATTTAAAATGCTTGCTTGGATATTTAAATGATTCTATGTTAAATAACATACTATAGTTGTGGATATTTATGAAATGTAATGTGGTGTTTCCCTAAATACATACATTTCGGAATGATCAAATCACGTTTATCAGTATATCTGCCACTTCAATTTATTATCATTTGGGTGGTTACAATAATTAAAATATCCTCTTGAAACTGTTGACATTATATAGTACATCAATGTCAATGCTTTGTTCTTTTCATGATGATGACCATATATTTCTGACATTAATTTCATCACTCCCCTAGGGACACTTATGACTGAAACCATCAAAGTCTCAAGATATATCCAGTTAAACTAAAATTTGCCTTTCCCCCTAATATTCCAGTAATTCCAATTATTTTCTCAATTTGTTTTTTATAAGGTCCTTAAAAAGGGAACTTATTTTAGGGTATATGTGTGTTCTGGAAGCATTTAGGTGTCCCTCTGTGCCCTTTCGCATCCTATGCTTGCTATCTATCACTTAACTTACCCCAAACTGGCTACTTCCAATTAAGCCATCTTCAACCATAGTCTTATGTTTTCCCCAAAACCCCCATTTCCAATTCATGCCTACCCATCTGCCTGATCTAAATTTTCTACTCAAAGGAAGAAGAAAATATGATACTTTCAATAAACATTCACCTTTATTGAAACATTTTATTATATCTCCCAGCCAGTATATTTCCACAAAATGCAGAGCATCTATTGTGGAGAATTAGTCATTCAAAAAATTTAGATCAGATATGGTTGAATATGGCAACATGTTACACCAAGTTAGTACTAGTATCCTGTGCCACCTATAGCTGGAAGAGTGGAAAGATAGACCACACAGTCCAAATACAGGTAGTAGCAAAGAACCTTAGAGAAGAAAAGTTGTGAACTGAGACTTCTTTTCAATATGTATGTATGTATGTATGTATGTATGTATGTATGTATACATACATATGTGTGTGTGTGAGAGACAGTAGTTGAAATCATACGAAGTTTTATCAATTTAAACATTTCTATTTTCATATGTTGTGTAGATGCTCACCCTTGGTCAAATAAATGTTGGATAAAATTGTTTATAAATAGAATATACAAAGACCTTTTTTGTACTTTTCATCTAGCATGTCAACTTTCCAGAACACCACCACTTCTTCCATCATTTTCCTGCTCACTGGTGTGCCTGGGCTGGAAGCCTTCCATGCCTGGATCTCCATCCCCTTCTGCTTTCTCTACACAACTGCTCTCTCAGGGAACAGCCTGATTCTCTTGGCCATTATCACTCAGCCCAGTCTCCATGAGCCCATGTATTATTTCCTCTCCATGCTGTCCACCACTGACCTCGGGCTGTCCATATCCACTCTGGCCACCATGTTGGGCATATTCTGGTTCAATGCCAGGGAGATCAGCTTCAAGGCCTGTTTGTCACAAATGTTCTTCATTAAACTCTTCACTGTAATGGAATCCTCAGTGCTGTTGGCCATGGCTTTTGATCGTTATGTGGCCATCTCCAATCCCCTTAGGTATGCCGCTATTTTAACTGATTCGAGAATAGCTCAGATTGGGGTGGCAATTGTCATGAGAGGGACTATAACGCTGACACCAATGGTTGCACTTCTTAAGAGACTCACCTTCTGCAGCAGCCATGTGCTCCACCACTCCTACTGCTTCCACCCCGATGTCATGAAGCTCTCATGCACAGACACCAGGATCAACAATGCAGTTGGACTGACTGCCATGATTTCTACTGTTGGTGTAGACTCGGTCATCATCCTCCTTTCCTATGTCCTGATCATTAGAACTGTCCTCAGCATTGCTTCCCCAGAAGAGAGGAAGAAAGCCTTCAGCACGTGCATCTCCCATATCGGGGCTGTAGCTATATTCTATATTCCATTGATCAGTCTGTCCTTTGTCCACAGATTTGGGAAACGAGCTCCACCCTATGTCCATACCATGATTGCTAACACCTACCTGCTGATCCCTCCTGTTATGAACCCAATCATCTACAGTGTGAAGACCAAGCAGATACGTAAAGCTATGATAAAAGTTTTCCGCTCTAAAGAAATATAGAGTTACAAAAGTCTAGAGCTGGTTGGCTTGCTTCAGGCCATGTTGTAAGTTAATGCTACAATACATCTAGAATACCAGTTGCTTTAACTCCTTATTTCACAGATGAGTAAACACTGGTATATAAATAGGAAGCAAGAACTGTATCTCTGTCCTTGTCAACAGCCCTTTTTTTTCTTACCTCATTGTAGCAGTTAAAATTTCATATCAATTTAATATTAAACCATCCCTTTCTAGAAAAATATGTGGCATTTTCTAACTATCTGCCACCCACTTTTCAAAGAAAGTAAAGATTGGGAGCTTCTACATGTATTGAGAGTTGTTTTTAGAAAGTAGTTTGATACAATGTTCATTTAACAAATGAATAGTAGTAGTTCAAATAACAAGCTAATTTAACAATCATAATTTCTTTGCCAGATTTACTTCAGACATAAATAAATCCTGTGGAGCTGACATTAAATCAGATCTTAAAGCAGTTGGTTACCCCAAAAACATCTCAGCAATTTTACCCATGTGTATATCTTGCCAGTTCTATCATTTTCTGGGTAAGACAATCAATGACTTTTGCTCCCCAGCAGCCAGGATATCACTTTCTGGCACTAAGGGAGCCCATCATCAAGGGAAAAGCTTCCAGATCAGTAACAACTTTATTATTCCTAGTCCTACTACTAAAGCATGTGGTGTCTTCAGAAATAATGTGTTTTCTTCAAGTTCTGGTGGGCACCTAAATGCAATGAAAATGGCCTGCATTATTTTGAATTTTCTGAGAGGTCCCTTAACAACTAGAGGGGAGATATCCTATATCCAGGACTGGGATTTTTGCAAACTATAACTTCCGGAAGAAGCATCATCCTTTCTCTTAATTATTACTACCCTTGATTTGCATGTGTTGAAATATCCCAGAACTTTGTTCTCAGACCTCTTCTTCCTGTTGTGATTCTTTTTTCTGGTCATTTCATATCATATTATGACATTAAATGTCCTATGCTGAACAACCATCAGTTATCATTCAAAGTCCACACTCATCCAATGTATGTCAATGTTTGCATCCAAATGTCTCAAAATCATCTTAGATAATCTTGATAGTTCCATCAACAAAAATGTATGGTTATCTACAGGCTTCCATAACCAGGAACTCTGTTTCCCAAATCACTAAGATGAAACACTTGTAGTGAACTTTTTGCCTTGCTGTTACTCCTCTTCCGCACCCATTTATCCACAAATCATGGTTCCAACCACATACATTGCTTCCACTGCTATCATGAGGATGGCAGCCATCACCTTGAACCTGAAGTCATCTGTGAATAGCTTTCTGGAGAATCTTCCTCAGTGCATTTTACAGTTGAGAGTGCTTATTCTAGTTTACATGGCCAACCTTATCACTCCCTATTTAGCACACTCTCATGGGCTCTTGTCTGACCCAAGGGGGAAACTCAGGGATTGTAGGAGTGTGCAAGGGCCTCTACATGTTCTGAGTCTGCACCACTATTCCAGTTCCGTTTTCCACTGCCCTTGGATCCACCCTAGTAAATCTGCATTAGCCTCCAGACAGTTTCTTGTATCATCAGGCACACTCCAGCATTGTAATTCATATTCACTGTTTTTCTGCCTGTGGTGTTTTCCTCTCAGAGATCAACTGCTGACTGACATCCTCTTTTCATGCAGGCTCCAACCCAGTGGACCTTAATGCAGGACCCCAAACATTATAAGGATAAAAATCATAGCAACAATACTTCTCCCTCAGTTCCAGTGTTTATCCCATCCTTACATGCCTTTTTTTTTTTTCTAGCACTTTCAACACCCAACCTATTATATACCTGGGAGGGAAGGTGTTTTGTTTTGTTTTGCTTGTTTCCCCATTATAAGAAAAGAGTTTTCAGGATAAGGAAATAATTTCTCACTGACTGTCCTGTTTCCATTTACCTCTTAGATTACTCCAAGACCAATGAGAAATTTAAACTTCTTCTATTCTGATTATCCTGTCACTTAAAGCCTTTGCACAAGCTGGTAGCTCCATGTACAGTAGTATTCAGCAACATTGCTCTCCCACTTAGAAGAGAGGTGACTGTTGTGGAGGAATCCTAACACCCTTAATCTGCCTTGTACCCCACCCAAATGCACCATCATTTGGTACCATGCATTGTACTTAACCTGCATGGTAATTCTCTTTAGATTCTATTATAATTATTCTTTCCACAACAGGGTTTGAATTCACTTTCAAGACCAGGAGCTTCATCTTACTCACTGCTGTTCTGTTCTTACACTTCTATTAATAGGACCTGGCTCCTTGTATCTTTAGATTTCCTTTCTTGTTGATGGCTTTGTTTTGATTTGGTTTTAAAATAGTTGCACAAAATTCCCCATGGTGACACAGCACTACCCCAAACTCATAAGTGGCTGGGTTATAAGTATGTACCATCATGCCTAGTTCCATACTATCTTCTAACCTCAGTTAAACTGAAGAACAAATAAATAAGATCTTAAATATGTATAAAAATTTGTATGACACACAAGAGCATAATAATCTTCTCATAGTTCCCAAGATATTTATTCATGAAGCTTCTCATTTTGAAGGATGCTATGCAAGGTGTCCTGCTTTGATCATTTCCCATAACCCCACCTTGCCCTAATTCCTGCACCCCCAACATAAAACTCCCCTTGTATGTTACTTAATCAACATTAGTTGAAAGCAAGAAAAAATATTACATGGATGATTTATGTTTAGAATAAACTACCAATTTCTGTTTGTTTCCATCCCTTTCTGTTCTCTGAACCTCATGGTTAATGCTCCTCATATGGTTCTAACCTATAACAAAGCAAAGATAAAAGTCCAAAAATAACTGCAGAAAAATCCAAGAAGGGTAGAGGAGAAGATGAAAAAAAATGTGGGTTTAAATGTTAGATTTTGCCTACTTCAGTGTATAAGGTATGATACTTGATGAGCAATAAGAGACAGGGTAGGAGTGACTTGAACGGGAATTGAAAAATGACACTATTCAGTCTTAAAATTGGAAAAGAAACTGGGCAATTGTGGCACATGCCTTTAATCCCAGCACTCGAGAGGCAGAGGTAGGTGGATCTCTGAGTTTCAGGCCAGCCTGGTCTACAGAGCTAGTTCCAGGAATCCGGGGCTACACAGAGACACCCCACCTCAAAAAAAAAAGTTGGAGAAGAACACATTAATTGGTCAGGTAATGCCAGATATGCAGCCCTGAAAATATACATAGCAAATAATAGAGCTAGTTGGATTTATGTATTTAGGAATATAGATATATGTATAAATACATAACAATTAATAAAAAATATGAGTCATGCATTTGAGAAAGAGCAAAGAGGAGTATATGGAAGAGTTTGGAGAGAAAAAGAAGGGAGAAATGATGTAATGATAATCTCAAAAAATTAAATAAATACTTTTTCTTTATTATTTTATTTATTACGGCCAGATGGGACTTTGTCTCCGCCATTATTTGGCAATTTCATTTAGATCATTTTCATATATGTATATAGTTCAGGAAATTTCTACTTTATTAGGTTTCCATACTACCCCTCAAATGCAGTTTAATTTTAGCTATCTCTCCCTGTAGTCCCTCCCACAACCCTTTTCCTCCCCCACCCCATTTGATCCCATATTTCAGCCCCCCCATCCATATCTATCTATTCTATTTAAGTCTCCTAATGAGAAGTCACTTTTAAGGTGATAAGAGGGAATCTCAATCTTAAAAGCTGGGCACTAGGATTTTCATGACACTTCTGGAGATACCCCTCTTGGCTTACATTTACACTAACTTGTGAACAATACTACTGTCCAACAACTTTAAATATTCATAAGCTTCCACAATTATAAATGGGCAACTTGACTTGAGGATGGGTAGTTTCCAGAGCAAATGTTATGCTCTGACCAAATTGGTTTCCCACTATGAGTCAGAAACTTTCCTAGAAACCAGAGTAATTCCAGTGACATGGGTATTATATTTAGAAGGAAAATTAGACAAGATGGGTCGAAGAATTAACTATAGGAGATGAGGAAAAAGTGTACATCTTAAGTTTAAATTCATAAGCACATTTATTCTTATCTTCCTGAATGTATCCTTCAAACAATTTCTAGAAATGCAATTTAATACACAAGGGTAGTTATGGTGTCCTTGATATGAACTATGCATTCTCCTCCTAACACCAACAGAATGAAGCCTTGAGTCCACAGCTTAACGTTATCTCAAATCTATTTGCCTTTTCAATTCCTCTTTTCTTTTTATATTGCTCCAGAAACATGACTCTACTTAGAAAATTCTGTTCCCTTCTGTGATTTATTTCTGCTTGAAAATCCTCTTCTTGTGGTAAAGAGATAGTTCCACAGGTAAGAACACTGAATTCTCTCCAAAGTACTAAGGATCAATTCCTAGCACCCACATGACAACTTACAACCATCTGTAACTCTAGTTCCAGGGGACCTGATCTCCTCTTCTGGGGTCTGCAGATACAAGGCACAAAGACATACATGCAGACAAATACCTGTACACATTAAATTGAATTTTTAAAAACACTCTTTCTTGGACCCAACCTTGATTAAAAGTATGTTCCTATTGACGTTCTCATTAAAAATCACTGATATTTGCTTTTATTTCATATTATGTTGAGAGTGTTAATTTAGCATCTTAGGGTAGTGATTTGATAATATTCATTTCTGTATCCCCTAAGCTCAGTATGGTGTCTACATAAAACCAGCATTGAGAGAACATGCTTTTAACACAATAATAAGTAATATTAAGTAATAATAAGTAATAATAAGTAAATGAACACTCCTGAATATAGGTATACAGTAAGTCTTGATATGTAATTATCATGACAATATTATGTTTCTTTTTTAGAGAAGGTAAGACTGATCTGTGAGGCAAACATAAAAACAATAGAAGACAAGTCATGGTAAATGTCAATCAAAGGTAGAGATGTACCTGTAGATGTACAAAGGAGGGCACATAGCACTAGAAAAGAAACATCAAAGAGCT